AATCTGCTAGCCTTACCTAAACTAAGTTTTCTCTGTTCCCAAGTTACATGACTGGTTTAGTTTATCGTGGACCCTTGCCTTTACTGCCTGCTAGCTCAGCTATGAAGCTATACCTGAAGGTTTTCCTGCTTAGCGCCATCTAGCTCCTTCCTGTGGGGCAGTCTGGAGCGCTCTCGTCCCTGGAACAGGTGGAGGGTTTTAGAAGCCACTCTTCCCCACAATTCAGTCTGCTGTAAAAACACACGAAAGGGCAACAGTGCCTTGCTTGTGTTCCTCATGAGGGCTTTGTGGGAGCTAGTTGAAGCCTGCCAAGCTGGCTTTATTTTTCTCAGAACCCTGCCCTTTTGATTACATAATTCCATATTCAAGCCCTCCTTTGTATATTTTGAGAGTCTTTCCCTGTAGCCCCAGGAACTGCTGTATAGACTAGACTGGCCTCAGTCTCACAGAGATCCTCCTGCCCCTGCCCCTGCCCCTGCCTCTGCCTCTGCCTCCCTAGTGGGACTAAAGGCTTGTGCCACCACATCCAATTTGCTGCATTTAATCGTGGCATTCTCCTCAACATGTTTTCACCGTAACACTATGCTCCTAGTGCACTCTCCTGCACACAATGGGCTGATCTCCTGGCACCTTAATCACAGCTTCCTCAACCTCTACAACTGAGGAAAATTTTCTGTTGTTTATAAGCTGAATGGGCTAAGATAAGAATTCAAAATAAGGATCAGTTTTGATGAGCAGTGCTTGGGCAATTAGGTAGAAAGGCTGGTGCAATACAAGACACCACTTAAGGATCAAAATGAAAGGTCTAAGGAGCAGAGAGGATGGGGGAAATCCTGCTTTATTATAAGAAGGATGCAGAACTGCAACTGTGTGAACAGAGGTGAGGGAGGGGTAGACTAGTATGGATGTATCTTCTCTGGTGCCATAGAAAGCATCTGTGGTAGGAAAGGGATTGTAACAGGGAGAGAAGTCACTCCCTCCAAGGTCCCCAAGGTTCTATTTCTCACTGATCTCTGTATGAAGTTGAATGGAGACTGTTAGTCTGCTTTTCATTGCTGTAACAAACAGGCAAGAAAACCAAATTATGAAGACAAAGGCTTATGCCGGCTCACAGTTTTCCAGGTTTCAGTTCATGATGATAGGCTGGTCCTTCATTGGGCCTGTGATGAGGCACAGAGTGGCCCAGTCATTCATCACATGGCCAGGGATGAAGGGAAAAGGAAGCTTTAGGGGCTGGGATTCAAATACATGCCCTCAACAAGTGGAAGACCTTCCGCTAGGTCTTCCCTCTTTAAATCTCCGCCACTTCACAACAGAACCAAGCTGTGGATTCAGTCTTTAACTTATGAGTCTTGGGTGGAGGGGATATACTAGATCCGAAATACAGCAGTGATCCAGGGATTGTGGGAAAGCATAGGCATCCTAAATTATGAAGATTTTTAATTGATACATTAGAAAATGTTAAAGACACATCTTAAAATTAGGTAACAACAGGAGTAACCCACCTCCCAGACCCACGTAGGAGTCTTACCACTCAAGTGTTCTCTTGGTAAGGAGGCAAGTTTCTGGCTCTTATCCCTGTGCCTGGAGTATGAAGCTCATCTGATAAGTTCTTCCCATTTACCACCTTGGGTATGCTCGGCTTCCTTCCCGTCCCACCTAATTTCCCCATCAATCAGTCTCACCGCCTTCTTTTATTTCAGAAATTATTCCACATTTTTCTTGCACTATTTTCAATACCATTTGGGGGTTTTTAATATTTTATTATTTTTACTTTATGTGTATGAGTGTATTGTCTGCATGTATGTAAGTGCACCCGTGCCGTGCAATGCCCAAGGAGGTCAGAAGAGGATGTTGGATCTCCTGGAACTGGAGTTACAGATGGTTGTTAGCCACCATGTGGGTGCTGGGAATGGAACCTGGGTCCTCTGCAGGAGCAACCAATGCTCTTAACTGCTGAGTCATCTCTCCAGCCCCCTTGTACTATTTTTGCTTTGAGAATTGTTACAGATCTTTTGAAGCTTAGTGTAATGTGGGAAGCACAGGTAAAAGTGAGCACTAGGTTTTCCATCTAAAGTCATGCTCTTTGGCTTGGAAACAACTTCTGTTTTCCTGGGGAAGTTGGTCTGGTGGGTGTCCTACTGACCCAAGGTAGATGTGATCTAAGCAGCTGGGTTTCTTCTGTCTTTACTGCAAGAGGTTTGAATGAAATTGATATTTGTGAAACCTATCATTAACACTCCTGACCAAGTAAAGCTGGGGAGTCAGCAAGACAAATTAAGGGGCGTGTAAGATGGCTCAGCAGGTAAAGGCACTTGCCATGCAACTCTGACAACTCAAATTTGATCCCCAGAAGCCATGGTAAAGGTGGAAGATAGAACCAACTAGACAGTGTTGTCCTTTGATCTATACATGCACCATCACACATGCACACACACACACATTGTGTACATACACACACACACACACACAAATTTACTTTTTTTTTTAACTGAAAAGACCAATTCATTTTTCAAAACATGTAGTTACACACTGAAAACTAAAACACTTAAATAAAAGGCCCTAAAAGCCATGGGGCCTAGAGCTCTCTCCCTCAAATTGTTAAGGGCTGCAAAGTAAAGAGGCAGGCACACACACAGAGGGGCAAGTTCCTGTTCCCAAGGAAAGACTGGGGTAAGATCCTTCAAATTTCACATAGACTGAATGAAGATCTGGGTTGTGCTGCAGATACTTTAGAGGGACTTAAAGGTAGCTACAGCTGTCTTCATGGCCAGACCTGGCCTGTGGGTTAAGAGGACAGGCTTAGCACAAACTCTCTAGCAAAGCACCACAGTCAGGTCCAAGCAGCATTGTCCACAGATGCATGACTGCACAGGAGGAGCTGCAACAAGACTGTGCTGTTTCAGAGGCAAGTTGGTACTCCAAGGGCGGAGGCCGCAGGGACCCATAGGACTGCAGGCCTGAGAGGAGGGAAACAATTTCCTTTCAATATGGGTGACTAGAGACTCAGAAGCAGTACAGTCTGAATTACAAGTGTCCACAGAGGCCATCAGTTAAAAGCGTGGTACCCAGCCTGTGGAGCTATCAGAAGGCAATGGAACCCTAGGAGGTAGGCCTAGTGGGAGGAAGTTAGACAACTGTAAGCATGCCCTTGAAAGGGGTATTTGGAATCTGCCCGCTTCCTTTTTCATTGTCTGCTGTGAGGTAAACAAGGCCTCATTTATTCTGTGATCCTTCCATGATGTATTATGCCACAACAGGCCCAAAGCAATAGGACCAAGTAGATATGGATTGAAACCTCTCAAACTGTGAGCCAAAATAAACCTTTCCCCTTAACAGGCTGATTTTGTCAGGTGTTGTACCACAGTGATGGGAAGCTGAATTAACAATGACAGTGTTTGGAAGAAATTAAGATTATAATAGAACCCAGAACTAATAAAAAGGGTGGGGTGGGATCCATCAGTTGAAGATAAATTAATTTTTAAAGCTCACATATGGAATATTTCCTTATTCTGTCAACGTGATTGTCAGTGCTTTAAATTATAGCATACAAATGTCAAAGAAAGTACAACAGCAATTAATGCTTTTTAACCACTGAGTTGTAGAATTTGAGTGGTAGATTTATGGGTGCTCACACTATTTTTTTCTCAGCTTTTCTGTATGTTTTAAAATTCTCATGACAAAATATCTAAAAGCACAAAAGTAACATTTTGTTGCGGCCCAGCACTTGAGACACCTTCAAGCCAGGGTCAGCTACTCCTTAGACCTACTTGGCCTGGCAGTGACATGTTTAGAAACTGACATTTAAAAAAATTCATACATACTGATTTACATATGTATGTATTTGTGCATTGCTCAAATTGGTCCTGAATTTTCAGGCTCAAGTCATTCTCCTGCCTCAGCCTCCTGAGCTGAGACCACCAATACCACACCCAGCCACTTCATACACAGTCTCCTGCCCTTTTCACACCCATGCATTACCTTGAGGCCATGTCTGTGCCCTGAATTAGCTTTTATCATGAACGGGTCATTTTGAATTGCCCTTTATGGATGAATGTATGTAAAGAGTACAGTCAGACCTTTGAAAGTCCCATGTGCAGCTAGGTAACCAGCAGATGTGCTTGTCCTATGAGTCATTTGGTAAAACGCACCAAAGAAAGCACTGTTTAGAGAGGCCCAGCCACAGAGTGTGGGATAAGGAAGATGTAGGATCAGTCCTTGTCTTAATCCACCTCTGGAACCAGCTATCTTTCGATATGGTCTTCAGCAGAAAGGGTATGATTACCTCCATCCCGCCCTCCTCAGTGCTCCAAAGAGGACTGTAGGTTTGCTCATTTGTAAAGTATCAGGTAACGCAGCACTAAGATGCTTTCAGAGTGTTCAATAAAAATAACGTGGTCTGTCCCTGAAATAGATTCTCCAAATTTGGGTCCACAGAAGAAGGGGTCGTGCTTCTAAGACAAGTTTTTTAATAATCCAGAATATAAAACAATAAAATATTATGTCATTTAGTGATTCATTCAAAATGGAGCTTAATCTTTCAGTAGTACCCAGGAAGTACAATTTCTGACTCTACAGGGGGCTGGAATCTTGCTTTCTGAAGTGATATTTCCAGGTTGCTTTCTGAGCAGCTGAGTCTACATGTGCACAACACCACACCCAGCTCTGGAGTGAGACTTTAGAGTGTCGCTGCATCACTGTAGGATGAGCCAAACCCTAGTCCCGGTCCCAGTCCCAGCACCACCTGTGAATTTAGTGATGCTGCCTTTTTACTCACCTCAGACAACTTTTTTTTTTTCCTTAGCTTGACTCTGAGAACATATTGTTGAACCCAAAAGAGCATACACTCCTGGACAACGTTTAATTTCCAGTTATCTAGATGGGAAGCATCATTCACCCCACCCAACCTCCCAGGTAAACTCATGGCCCACTGTACATACTTTTGCATTAGAAACTTCATCTTTATCCCCTCTCCCACTCCCCAGAAAACAATACAAGCACATGATCAAATTCATTTTATTTTTATACATAGGAAATGGGACTCTATCAAAAGAGAACAACAAAGAAAGATGAGCCAAGTATTGCCAAGGAAAAGCATGCACAAGCCTGCTTCAAGTTTGCTTCTAAGCACCGGCTCTGCAGGACTTCAGCACACAGATAGGACTGCTCTAAGGGAGTGAGTTGTTACCACAGCATGAGAAAATGAGAATGGCTGGGAAACATCCCCAGAAGTGCAGTTTCCACAGGCACTGCCAGTGTTTACGGCTGCAGGAATTCAAACCTAGGCTCAATGGCAAACAAAACTTATCTCACACAGACACTGGAGTATAAAATTACCGAGCCCTGTCAGTTGTTCAGTTTCTTAAAATCATTTGCTATCAAAAAGATAAAGTTGAGTCATGGACACTGTGTGCCTTTGTTCAGCTGTTCCCTGATCCAATCCCAGGGTCAGCTCCTAGTGTGCTTCTCAGGGGGTAAGAACTGACAGAGGAAGCTGAAGTTAAAAGACTAAACAAATGATCGGAGGAAATGTTTGGACCCACATAGTAGTCTTGGTTGTAAACAGCAGACATTGTGCTTTATTTAAAACAATGACCTGGGCAGGGGGTGGGATTGAAACTAGAAACAGGAAGCCAGGTCACACTAGAGTGGTCAATGACTTGGGCAGCAGCATCTGTGTCCACAAACTCTTCCCAAGGGTGTTTATGCCTTCCCTGGCATTTCTCAAACTGTCTACTGAGTCCTCGTGTTCTCTGTCCTTAAAGCAAGACCATGAAGCTACCATCCCCATTCCCGAACCCCTACCCTATATAAATACCCCAAAAGAGCATGAACACTAGGTCTGCTAGGTGGTGAAGAACACTCCATGTCCACTCCAGTGAGACATTTGGGATGCTCAAATTCAATGGGTAATAACTTATCAAGAGGTTTTGATTAGTTCATTTCAAACATAAATGCCCTCTTTCCCAGCCCTACTCCCCAGTTACTACACACAGAGCAATCTAGACGTCTCAGCTATGCTGCATTGCTCTCAGCACACAAGACACAGCCATGTCTCAATCTGTGTTTAACTACACATCAACACAACTAACTATGCAGAATAAAACTCCTTACTGTGAACAACTCCCTCTACTACTTGTAAAACTGTGGGTGAGCTACAATTCTCACCTGGGAAATTGAATCTCTAACTACACCTTCTTGATTATGTGGTCTGTGCAACTAAGCAGGCTTCCATTGTTTTATCAGTAAACTCCCTCTTCTGAGCCCAGCACATCTCTGCTCTAATCAATACAACCCTACCAGCTCCTTCTTAGCAAAGCTGTCCTGACTTGGCTGGGCCACCTTGCCTGATCTCCATCCCTCCAAGGGTCAATGTAACTTCCCAGACTAATGTATCCCTCTGCTTTGAAGTGTCCATGAAACCTACCACCAGAACTACTCAAGGGAAGGGCATGGGAGCCCTCTGAGCCGGGGTTCAGGGAGAACACTTTCTAGCTGATCTCAAAGGACAGGCTCAAACGTCAATAAATGCACTAAAAGAAAAGGGAAACATTCTTTTCCTCCCAAGTCAGACCAAGATTCATAAAATACAATGTCTCCATTTGGGGAAGACAGTAATTTTCCCTAATCCAAGACTCCTCTTTTCCTTGGTGATCTTTAGTTAAGTGCAATGTCCAGCTTGGGCCTGATACTGCATTCACCTTGCAGTGGAAGCAGCATACACTTGGGTCTTCCCTGTCTCTGCACAGGAAAGCCCAACTTCAGGACAGGAGTGGAGACAGAACAGCAGCAAGAGGCTTATTCTCCCCAACACATCTCTAACAGCTTCTAGAAAGAGAATGGGCTGGGACAGGAGATGGTGACCCTTTGGACTTCCTCTCTGTTCAACTGCTGCTTCATGTAGGACTCACCTCAGCCCAACCCATCTATCTATCCCCCTGAGACTTAAGCTTTGCCTTGCTGTCCTCTTAGCCCCTCTCTGAAGACCTGGTCTGACCACCACAATGCCAACCCTTGGGGACTGTTGCCACATTCTTCTAGAGAGCGCAGACAGCATCAGAAACAGAAGCAACAGAGGAGACACAGTGCGGATTCAAATGTCCTCCATGAAAAACTTGAAAGAGCTGGGCTTGCCTTGAAGATACCAAAGAGGAATTCGCCCTTGGACCACCCCTGTCAGCAAGTAACAATGAGGATGGGCGGACACCCAAAGGGCCTGTCCAGCCGCTCTGCCTTCAAGTGTAGCATCTTCTTACTTGTCTTTCACCACCTGTTCATAGGGGGGTGGGGGAGTGTTGCAGTAGGAAGGGGGGGGTGGGTAGGCCATGCCTCCGTGGGATGGACTGGGTTGGACCTGGAAAGCCACTGCCATGGTGTTGCCAACAGGATTCATCCCTGGTCCTCCAGGGTCGGTGTAATATGGTGGCCCCAGCTGCTGGGCTCCTGAAAGACAAACAACCACATGTGAGTACAGTGCTTGATCAGAGGCAGAGGCCCTCAGAGGAAGCACAAAATCCAGACCTCCCTCTGCAAATTTCTATTTGGATAAAGGATCTCATGCCAAGACCCTGGCCAAGTTGGCCTCTTAGACTCCACAAAAGACAACTGGAAGCAAATGGACCCAATTCTGACTGAGGTAGAGAAGCTCATTCAGGAAGTAAAAGCAGGAAGGCTTCACTGCATGTGTGAAACACGTGAAGAGGCTGGCAACGCAGGCAGGTGTCTCCAGACTTCAGAGAGCATTTCAGAGATCCTTCCCCAAATATACACAGGATGCCACGGCATGTGACTCTGCAATCAAAAGGACTTTAGAATTATAGTTAACTCTGTGTCATGAATAAGCGTGGTGAAAACAAAAAGCTACCAGAGAATCCGTATGATTCATTCTAAAGGACACATTTGCAAAGTTAGATTACAAATGTAGATCAAAATCAGGGGATAAAAATGGTTCATGGACGTGAAGTACAGAGCAAAACTGAGCAGCGAGGACTTTCATGTACACGAGGGAGAAGGATTAAGAAAGGACAATGGGGGCTGGAGAGATGGCTCAGTGGTTAAGAGTACCATCTGTTCTTGCAGAGGGGCGGGTGCAGTTTCCAGCACCCACATGGTGGATAACACTCATCCATAACTCCAGTTCCAAGGGATCCAACACCCTCTTCTGACCTCTGCAGGCACTGCACAACACAGGTGCACTTACACACATGCAGGCAATATGTACATAAAATAAAAATAAATCAAAAAAATTTTAAGGACAATAGCAAAGAGAACAACCTCAAATCTTATTCTTGCCAAAAACTGGTTCATAAGCTGAAATGGAGAGAAGAGGGGGACAGAAATGAAAGATCAAGATGGGCAAGGGTTTGGGGACAGCACTAAGTCTAACTCTGACAGATCACCTCTTGATAAAGGAGAGACTAGGACCAGCACTTAGTGAGGGTTCTACTTTAAGTGAAGGACTTTTTTTTTGGACAAATACAAATATGTCACATACCACATGTCACTCAAGCCTTACAGTAATGTGGCAGGAGAGTGGGGCTTGGAGAGACAGCAAAATTACAATATCAAAAAGCCAATTGGCAAAACACCTGGAAACTCCTTTCTGCCAGGTTACATGTTAGGGCCAGAGTATGTGTGAGAAAAGACAGCAATCGCCAAATGCAGAAAGGGGGGTATTTAATGATTCATTAAGTCTTACCACTTACAGATGAGAGCCTTTGAGCTTTGGGTAAGAGGGGACTGGACACCTTGGAGACAGAGTTACAGTGGCTTTCACCTTCCCAGAGGTACATCAAGATGACAGGAGCAGCTGACACATGTGCTGGGCTCAGGAGTAGGGACAGTGATGGCAGCTCTTGACTATGCCCTCCTTGTACCAGAGACCCACCATTGCCCTGAGGCTCAAATGAGAAGGAACACCACAGAGTCCCAACATCTAGTGGTTTTACATGATGATCTTTCCAGCCAGGAGCCTCCAGGATCATCTGTCCTATAGGACCAATCCCTAGCAGAGATAGAAACTGGAAGTCTCTGGCCCATCTCAACATAGCAAAAGATCAGTGAGTGAGACATGAGCAGTGGGGTGGCCTGGCCAGACAGGAAATCAAGCTGAATGCTGTACAGGGGCTAAATGGTTGAGCTCAATGCTGAGGTACAGAGAATGGAGAACAAGTCTGGTGGGACAACAGGTTTCACATGAAATATCTCCTCCCACTTCACAGAGCTCCACCTCACCTCTGTATTCAACAACTCACTTCAAGTTACCAGAGAAAAAGGAACACAGCCCCATGTGACAGCCGGAGCCCCTCCATTTTGTGTAAGAATCACCATCTTGGTGAGCCATCTCAGACCCTACCCTGGCCCGGGGCCAGCAGTTCCAGGAAGAGCTGACCCCAGAGGAACACACCCATATAATCCTGGAAGGCTCCAGTTGAGGCTTATCTGGCTTCTCTAACTGCTTGCTTGCCTACCTACAGCAACAAACATGTGACTTCTTGTCTTTGAGTAAATCTTGTACCACCCAGTCAGGATATGGACTTTTTGCCTTTAAAACCTTATTTTCCTCTAAGTCAGGGCTGCAGTCTCTCAAACCTCAACCTAGTGAGTGCAGTCACTGACCAACTAAAAAAATTTGGCTAATTTGGAACTTTTTGAGTCTGAGTGGGCTTTCCCAGTGGTCTCAGCATCTTTCCAACACTATCACCCATCAGCTCATTCGCCTATGGTACTCCCCTTAAGGGAAGTGCCTAGACCCTTGGTGACAATCAGAGTCCACACCTCTTTTTCAAGTATGGACCTCCAACAATACAAGGAAAAGCCAGGAAGCTTCTCTGATGACCCACTCCAATTTATTACGAACTTCCAGACCTTAACTTTAGTTTATGCTCTAACATTGGAGGACCTACACCAAGTCTGGGGAGAAACAGGATCTGGGAGAAAGATGGGAAGCTGCAAGGCACGCAACATAAAATACATGCTCAATGTCCTACTGACTGCCAGGAGCACAGACTCTCACAGACCAAGAACTCACTGCTTGGAATTATAACACCCCAGCATGGACCCACAAACATAGGATGATGACAGCGTCATCACAGGAATGGAAAACTGCATTGGAAAACATTATAAGATCAGGAAGATTACTCAAGGAAGAACAGAAAATCCCACTCTATTTATCAACACAATTGAGACTTCCAGGAAATCCACAAACTTAGATCCTCATCCCTCAAAGACAAGCTCTTCTGAGCCAGCATTTCTTTAGTCAGTCAGCTCAACAGCTATAGAAAGCTTCGGAAGCTAGAGCTAGGACCTCAAAGCCTACAGACTCAGCTGTTGAATGCTGCCTTCCTGGTGTGCAATAACTGAGATCTGAAGAAAGACAAAGAGAATGAGAGAAAGCGGCCCCACTGGAAAATCTGGGAGAAGGGAAGAAGACAGATTGGCCTCAAGTGTGAACGTCCAGACTATGGCGCCCTCAAATGCACCAAACACTCCCATAGTATGTCTGATATGTGAGGACCCAGAGACCTGGCTCTGGAGGGTGGACTATCCCTATTCCCAGAAAAGAAAGGGACCAATCCCTGGCATGATCACCTTACAGGACGGAAGGTTCCTAGTGAATCAAAGTCACAGGCAGAAAAGCAAAAGGGATCACCTGAAGGAGCAGGATGACTCAAAGGAAGTTACGTCACCAAAAGCCCAGAATGGGTGATAGCTCATGAAAGCCCAAAACCTGGAGCTGTCAGCATGACTTGCAGGCAGCACAATGGGTTCGAGAGTACCTTCTCCAGACAGCCTGGCTGCTCTGAGCCTCTTCTGGCAGCTCAGCCTGTCTTGCAGCAGTCCTTACTTACTTTAGCTTAGGGAGGAAGGGGCCTAGTGCATCTGGTTAGTTTCAGGGACTTGCTAAAGCTTCTGAGTTGCTTATTTCTAGATTCTTAAGGAGATTCCCTTTAAACATCCGGAGTCTTAAGGAACTTCCTTCCAAGAATGTAAGTAAGTGCACCTGTGTCTTTCAGTGTCCATGGAGGCCAGAAGAGGGCACTGGATCCCCTGGAACTGGAGTGACATATGGTTGTTAGCTGCCATGTGAGTGCTGGGAACCAAACCTGGGTCCCCTAGAAGAGCAGTCAGTGCTCTTAACTGCTGTGCCATCTCTCCAGCTCCATTAGCCACTTTTTAAAACCAAGTTGTTGATTTCTACGCAGCTTGGTTTTGTGATACATATTTAATAGACCCCCCCCCCAATACTATTTTAATAGGTTTTAGGAAGTTAAGAGTGTTAAGGTTCCAAACAGCAGCAGCTTCCCCCCTCCCCAACAGGGACCTACAGACTTTGGAGCCCAAAAATGGGAACTGAGCTGATAAGCAACTTGACCTTTGAAGTCAAGGGAAACAAACTCTGCTGAGAAGCAGCCTGCCTTTCCTCTGATCTCCAAAGATAAGATAAGCAGATTCTACCTGATAACCAGAGATTTTAGAAGCTGTTTTTCTCTTATCTTAAGAGGGAAAAAGTAAACACTTCCAGACCCTAATCCTACCTGCTTTTCCTGCTTCCCCCTCCCTGATTTCTCCCCCAAACATTCCCCCCTTCCACACCCTAAAGCTCCCATATATAAAGTCCCAGCTCACAACCCGTGGGCAGGCATCTTTCCCTTCCCTGCCCTTCCCTGACATCTTTCCCTTCCCTGACATCTTTCCCTTCCCCGAGGGAAACGTGTCCCATGTGAAATAAAGCTGTATCCCGCTGAGAATTCCATCCGCTCATGCTCGCCACCTCTCCATCCCACCCTCTACCTATCAAAGAGTACCTAAGTTTATATGGCAACATTTATGGTATCAGAGCCTTAGCAAAGATCAGGTTGGGTTCTGTCATTGAGATCAAAAGTCTTCTACTTCATGTTAACAGTCATGTCTTAGAATTACAGATTTTGGATTAAGGATTGTTTAATGTTCTGGATGAGCTAATGGCATAAAGAATCTAATTTAAAAATTAACAAATGATAGATCTAATGGACTGTCATCAAAGGCTACAAAATCTTTGCTTTTGTAAAAACTCTCTATATAAGAATGAGTGTATATATATATTTTTTTCTAGATATACTTATGTTTCTATATTGTTTACATTATACCAAATTGGTTTATATACAAGTGATCACATAAGTTAGAACTGTTACCTCTAATTCCTTCTAGATCTAATATAACTAGAATTTTACAACAAAAATTCCTAGTTCTGGCAATTCCATAGGTTAACCTTTGCCACCAGTGATCATATGCCAGTTGAAGCATTAGTAATGGGAGGGGCAGAGGAAAAAAATTCCTAAGGTCAGATATTGCTGGATGCTTATTTCATCAGTCAGCCTGTACTAGAGATCTGGCTAAGGAGACAATAAGACCTGAGATTTCTCAGTTAACTTTTGTCTCTTGGGGTTTTCAACAGTAGAAAT